ATTATTATTCAGTCAACCTTTTGTAAGTCATGTATTTATAGTCTACCCACAGATTTAAAGAGACCAAGTCACCAACTTAAAACATTGCAGGTAAAACACAGAAAACCAAGTATTTAAAGTGCTTACTTGCAGCGTTTAAAAAAACAAAACAAATGTAGTCATTTGCAGTGTGCCTTTGAATTTGTTAAATGTCACTATACCCGGTGAGTCAGTTCCATAGCACCACCTACCTTGCACATAATAGCCCTCTGCTCTTCTGGGAGTGTCTAATTACTGGCTGTGCTGGTCTAGCTCCTCCCCCTTCAATCACCTACTTGCATAGCCTTCTGTGTAGCTACTATGGTAAGGAGCAAAGGGGGATACTATAGAGCAGGAGTCTCCAAACGTATTGTAAATTTTACAGGCTGAAAAAATTAATCCGGGCAGGAGACGGAGCAGGTCTGGCTAGAGGGATTCCCTTTCTCTTGTAAATGCTGTGGGAGGAGCAATAACGTCATTGATTGCTAGGGCACCGCAGTGGGGAAAATCTGCACTGGGGCAATTATGGTACACAGAATGGTGCATCCGGTGCTAGCCACCCAGCCAGGATTGCTGTAGGATGCATACACTCTTGTGAAGGGCCAGATGTGGCCCGCAGGCTGTAGTTTGGAAAATTTGTGTGTCAATTGAGTGGCAGCTATGAGTCTGTTGGGGCTGCAGCAGCCTCAGGCCTTTCTGATGTCTGCACGAGGGAGGCTTTTACAGGTAAATAACATGGCTAAAACATGTTAAATTCACATATAATCTAATGGGAAAAGTTTTGTTAAAATGAATGCCTTGGTGACAGGGTCTCTTTAGAGTAAACCTGTCAGAGAAATACAGGGCTTGCCACTGCAGATCTCCTTCTGCAAATGCAAGGTATACACAGCGTGGGCTTCACAGGGATGTGGAGATCAGTTCAAAGACCAACACAGGTATTTGCACACACCGCATGATATGAGCACTTTACGCCACGTCATGGAGCTGAGGAGCATTGGCAATGAATATTACTTATTTTGTATGCTCCTCAGCTCTATCTAGTGGCCGTATGTGGTATTTTCCTAATATTGCATTTCAATCTAGAAAGAAAATATACTAATAACATTCGTTTTTGCCTCCATTCACACAGAACAAATGTCTATGTAATTTCGCATTTGTTTGGTTTTGGATCAATTCGTATTTTTATTTCTTTTGTTTGTCGGATTTCAGTTATTTGTAAGGCAGAGGTAGACTTTAAAAGGAGCTTTTTGGTTTCATTTTTCTTGAAGCCTTTTGGATTTGTTTAGTTATTCGGATTTCAGATCCGTCCATTTTCATTTCGGAACAAAGTCACATGAGCCAACAGCCAAAAAACACCCATCTGATTGGCCAGAGAACAGTCACATGACCGATTTTAGTTTTATTTTGAATGAAATTCGTATTGATCCGACTTTTCGTTAATTCCCCATTAAGGACCATTCGGATTTATATGCATTCAGATGCTTAAAATTTGGAAACTCAGATGCATCCAAATGTCCAAATTTAATGTAATTTGTACAAGTATCCATTCGGAATGAAAGATAATTTACATGTCTAGTATCAATCACACTTGGCATGCTGCATTTTACCCTGTCAAACAACCATAAAAAACAGGTAGTCACGTCTGTGGTTTTTTTATAGATTAGGAAGAGGAAGAGGATGCCTGCAAGTTATGACAGTACAAAAGCAATTATGTAAGTAAAAAGAAAGTTCACACAAAGGCTACATGCAACCTGATGAAAACAAGTGATGCAACAGGTCTAAGTTTTGCTTGTGACAATGGCAACATATACGTGTCCCATAGAAAGAGTGAGAGTGCACCTTCACCCATAAAAATATTATCCCCTCGCCCTGCCTCCCCCTTTTACACACAAAAAAAAGCCATTTTTAAACAGAATAACTTTTTTATATTTTTTGCTACATTTACATCTTGTATCCTCCCCTAGGTGAAAATAATTCATCCACGTCACACATCTAAGGAGGTAGTTTGCGATATATCGCTCAAGTGCAGGCATGCCGCACTTGAGCAGAAATATCTGCACTTGTTCGGGGGGGGGGGGGGGGTCTGCGATCCGG